CAACCCCGGAGTCGGGACCCCTGGGGGGGGGGTTGCAAGGGGGTGTCAGAGGGGTCACCAAAGACCATCAGAAAACACAGTATTTTCCGTTGGTCATGGTGGTTCTATATAGGAAGTTTGGGCCAATTCTGTTGTTGGTGGGGTTCAGAATGCTCTTTGATTGAACGTGAACTATAAATCCCAGCAACTACAACTCCCAAATGTCAAGGTCTGTTTTCCCCAAGATCCACCAGTGTGCACATTTGGGCATATTGAGTATTCGTGCCAAGTTTGGTCTAGATCCATCATTGTTTGAGTCCACAGTGCTCTCTGGATGTAGGTGAACTACATCTCCAAAATGTACGGTCAGTGCCCACCAAACCCTTCCAGCATTTTCTGTTGACCATGAGAATTCTTTGTGCCAAGTTTGGTTCAATTCCATTGTTGGTGAAGTTCAGAATGCTCTTAGATTGTAGGTGAACTATAAATCCCAGCAACTACAACTCCCAAATGACAATATCAATCCTCCCCAACCCCACCAGTATTCAAATTAGGATGTATCAGGTATTTGTGCCAAAGTTGGTCCAATAAATGAAAATACATCCTGCATATAACATATTTACATTACAATTCATAACAGTAGCAAAATTATAGCAAAATAATATTCTCATTGGGGTTCACGACATGGGTAACTGTATTAAGGGGTCATGACATTAGGAAGGTTGAGAAACACTGGCTTAAGTGGTTGTTTTTTGTGACCATTGCCCAAAATCCAAGTTGAAATCCGCAGGAATTCCTTGGCAGACAAATCAATGCAGAAAGAGTTTGGTGAAGGTAAAATTTTTGAAAATGGCTATAGTATCTTAAGCAGATATGTGATATCCCAATTAATCTTCTGTCTTCCCCACTTTTCAGCTTCTTTTACAACTTTCCCTTCTGCATCTACACTTACCCAAATAATCCAGAGTACTGTACTCAGGAGCTGCCACAGATGCAGCATAGGGCATCCCCAGAGCCTTTTTGGTGTCCAGATGGACAGATTGCCTGAGATCACATTGGGGCCACCATTGCCACTGATGGTTCAGCCAAAAGTAGAGCCTTGCTGTTGACATCACTTCTCATGAGATCATAACAGGTCACCAAGCCATGTGATCACTAAAAACAATGCTACCAGCAATGCTCTGCTAGGTAGCGGCTTCTAGCTAATGTCACACTAGTGGGTCAGCTACATGTGTGGATTCTGGATCAGGCTAGATTTAGGGCAACCCAACTGTCCACACCCCCAAAATACCAGGGTAACTCTGATACTTCCCAGAAACTCCTGAGTAAATTCTGGTTCCCTTTTCAGTAGATTAATGGCTGATGTTGTGAAACCAGTTGTATGTCATGTAGACAGAATTTCCAAAACGAGTTCTCTTTATCTGACCTATGTAGATACTGTTCCAGTTTCTCTCTCCTTCTTCAGCTCTCCCTCTTTGCCCTCAGCTTACTTGAGTTGTTGCAAACTGAGTTCAAAATGCAAAAGTGCCATAGTTTATGTTCAATTAACTCAGCAGAAGGAAGAGACAGAATCACACCCTTCCCAGTAGGCTCAGGAAAAGGAAACTGCTGCAGCTTTTCCTGGAAGTCTGTTCTCTCTTTTGCCATCTTCAATTCACTCTGATTTGATTTGGCCACAAGTATTCCAGTTTTCTAATGCTGGAGGATGTGTCATCATTCCTATGCTAAAATGACACGGGAGGAATTATTTTTTTCACTTTTCTTCTACATGCCTGCACACATATTCAGAGAAAGAGCAACTTCTTTCACCACCACCCCTTCTTTGCCCTTTGGAAGAAATCTATCTACGAGTGCGGGACGCAGCTGCCTTCTTTCCAGGCCGTCTTGCCCCTGCCTCTATTACTTTATGATCTCACTGTCTTCTCTCCTTTCTATTCCCCTCTTTTCAGAAAGCTGATATGCCCAAAGAGGCAGGACAGCCTGCCAGAGGTGATGGGAGAAGACTTAGCGAGCTTTTGGCGTTTGTTTAGAATTCATGCTGATGGGACCCTTGGCCAGCTGCCCCTGTCTTGTGCTGCTTTTCTTTCTGTGTTTACCAGGCAAGTTCTACAAGTAAGGTAGGTCGAGGGGGAACAAATAGGCTGAGAGCTCTTGGACCACTTGCCAAGAAATGAAGCAGCAGCTGGAAACAACATTTATCTTATCTGCACTTCATTCCCAAATGGAAGGAGAATTAAAATGAAATATTCCACCATGAAGGCCTGCATAACATTTGTCATTAGCTGGCACTGAAGACAGGGGTGGAGATGCATAAATCTATTTTCTGTGCACACAGTTCTTGCTGCATCCTTGATACATGCTTAGGCAACAATCAGCCATTTTTTCATTAATCAACTACCACAAATAATTGAAACTAAATCACCTAGCCAAGATGGGAATAACTAGCTGCCCGATCATGTTGCCAGCAAGTATAAAAGGGTTAGAGCTGAAGAAAAACTAAACATGTTCCAACAATATCATGTTCTGGGACAAAAGGGCATGCTAGATTTCCTCATAGCATCCACGTGTTTATATGGCTTGGCTGTTGGGTGTCATGAAGAGGTTATTGGGTTGGATTTGGTTAATCCATGAGTTTGGTGAACCAGTCATCTACTGCATGGAAAACATTATCAAGTTCGAAGGGTCTTAGATGAGACTGAGAGAAGTCAAACACAAGTTCTAGGCTTTAAGAGAGCTGCCTTCAAGAAATTTAAGGAAATATTGAGTGCCATTCCATGGACAGGAATACTAAAAAAGAAGGGATTTAATGATGAATGGGAGTTTCTTAAAAGCGAGTTACTGAAGGCACAATTGCAAACAATGCATGCACAGAGGGAAAAAAATAAGAGAAGTATAAAACAACCAGAATAGACGTCTAAAGAACTTTTAACTGAGCTAAGTTTTAAAAGAGACATTCACAACATACAGAATGGGTAATGCCTGGCTTGAGAACAGTCCCTATGAAAAAGATCTTGGAGTCTTACTGGACGACAAGTTGAACACGAGCCAACAGTGTGATACATCAGCTTAAAAAGCCAATGAGATTTTGGGCTGCACCAAAAGGAGTATGGTGTCAAGATCAAGGGAAGTCATGGTGCCTTTCTATTATGCTTTAGTTAGACCTCACCTGGAATACTGTGTCCAATTCTGGGCACCACACTTTAAAAGAGATATTGACAAGCTAAAAAGGTGTCCAGAGGAGGATAACTAAAATGGTCAAAGGTCTGAAGACCATGAATCCCTATGAGGAGCATATTAAAGAGCTGGGCATGTTTAGCCTACAGAAGAGAATGTTGAGAGGAGACATGATAGCCATGTATAAATGTGTGAAAGGATGCAGTAAGGAAAGCAGGCCTTCAGTAATAGGTTCAAATTATGGAAGATTCCACCAGAACATTAGGAAAAACTTCCTGACTGTAAGAGCTATTCAGCGGTGGAACTTTCTACCCTCGAATATGGTGGAAGCTCCTTCCTTGGAAGTTTTTAAACAGAGGCTGGATGGTCATCTGTCCAGGGTACTTTGTGCTTTTCCTGCATGGGAGGGGGTTGGACTAGATGGCCCATGTGGTCTTTTCCAATTCTATGATTCTAAAGGACGAGAGATGGGGCCTTCTCAGTGGTGGCCCCACGGCTGTGGAACGCCCTTCCTACAGATATCAGATCGGCCCTCTCCTTATTGGCATTTCGGAGGAAAGTGAAGACCTGGTTGTTCAAACAGGCATTCGATTAGGCAGTGTAATTGATTACAGGAACACGGAATAACAGATGATGAGATTGGATTCTGATTCTGTTGACAAGACGCGAATGATTTGTCATATTGATGTTTGCTGTTATGCTATTGTTTTTAAATGTTCCAATGGTTTTGTAATGTGTGGATTGAAATTGCTGCTGTTAACCGCTTTGAGTCACCTAAGGGCTGAGAAAAGTGGTATATAAATGAAGTAAATAATAAATAATAAATAAATAATAAGGATTGAATTCTCAGAATTTGAAAAACTGAGTGTTATTGGTATAGTGGCTGAAATGTTGTATAAGGACTTCAGATATCGAAGTGCAGAATCTGTAAAGTTTCATTGATCAGCTGGGTCATTCTCTCTGAAGTCCATAGGAAGGTTGTTGTTAATGTGAAGATCCAATGGGGATGAGAAAGCCATGTTTGTATCTTAGAGTCCATTGAATACAGATGTAAACAATAAATAAATAATTGCATCCAAGATGATGTGGCAGTACGAAATCTGTCACTGAATCGCTGGTGGATTTTACAAAATCAATTCCAACTATGTTGAAAATACAGTTTCCATTTGGACAATAAAAGAGAGGAAATTAAGCTTTTGTGGTTTGCTTTTTCCTCAGTTTATATTCATTGCTTGAGACTTGGACAATGCTTCAGTGTGTCAGATGCTGATGTCTGGAACATACCCATTAGCAATGTGTGCTTGCTGTACCATTTGTCATTTAGGTGTTCCTTAGATATAGGTTTTCCCACTGTGATGACAGCCAGTGAGATTTGAATTTTGGTGATTATTACTGACTGTGGAATAATTTCATTTTATTCCTTTCATGAACTTTAGATAAATTCAGCTGGCAAATGTTGACTTGGACAAGGTCACCCGCTTTGCTTCAGAACCTAAACTAGATGTTTTATCAATTCCAGCTCTTTGTCCTGTGCAGTGCACCACATTGATCCTAATTTTAATTGTGTCAAGCCATCTGTAACACACACACACGGTCCTTAATGTAGAAAGTCCCAAATCTACTTTGTAAAACGAATATGAAATTTACAGTTACGACGTTTGACACTAATGCTCTAAAAGACGTGCATTTCATCTCCTACTATCTAGTGCAGGAAATGGAGTAAGCTGCCTAAGAGTTGTGTTATGTGATCCCACTTCTCTAAGTGGAATTGGAGATCAATTCCAGAACAGTAATAATACCCCAGGAGTTTGGTTTCCTTTGCATGAGAGATTGCTGGAGAGCCATGGTTTCTTTTTAACATTTGCTTTATTTACAAATATACAAGCAGAGCAGAAGTGGAAGCAAACAGACATTCTTAATGCAGGTTTTCAAAAATTATCCAAAAAGCAACTTTAATTTCCTCCGTCTCCTCTTCCCCTTCCCCATTGCACCGGCTATCTCTGAACAAAAAATTCTTTTGAGTGTGTCTACACTCTAGAATAAATGCAGTTTGACACCACTTGAACTACCATGGCTCAATGCTTTGAAATCATGGGAGCTTTAGTTTGACATGAAAGTTTCTCTGGGAAAGAATGTTGGTATCTTGACAAACTACAACTCCCACGATTCCTAAACCCCTGGTGGCGCAGTGGGTTAAAGCACTGAGCTGCTGAGCTTGTTGACCGAAAAGGTTGCCGGTTCGAATCCGGGGAGCGGTGTGAACTTCCGCTGTTAGCCCCAGCTTCTGCCAACCTAGCAGTTCGAAAACATGCAAATGTGAGTAGATCAATAAGTACAGCTCCGGCAGGAAGGTAACGGTGCTCCATGCAGTCATGCCGGCCACATGACCTTGGAGGTGTCTATGGACAACGCCACTCTTCGGCTTAGAAATGGAGATGAACACCACACCCCAGAGTCAGACACAACTGGACTTCATGTCAGGGGAAAACCTATACCTTTACCTTAAGCCATGGTAGTTAAAATGGTGCTGCGCTGCATTAATTGTACAATGTAGAATCAGCCTTAGTCTTTCTGAACTAAAATGTGCCAAGGTAAAATGAAGCATGTTAAGATAGAGGTGGAAATCATGTGGCCTGTAAGGAAATCATGTGGCATGGATTGCTGTTTCTAGCAATATTCAGCATTAGCTATACACTTTCCCTCCTTTTGCTTAGTTATTCCGAGTACAATATTTAACCATGTGAGACAAAGGACACAATTTCTTTGGTGCACACACATAAAACATATCAAAGCAAAAGTTTCATTCTTATTTTAACCCTAGTACTGCCCTGTTTTCAGGGTTGAGGATACCATACCTAGAGAGAGGAAAAGACGGGGGCTCAGAGCAATAGTTGCCAATGCCCCAACATCTTCAACTCTAATGGTAAGCCGGCTCTTTTGGTTCTCCACTTTTGATCGCTGCTTGCAGGAGCTGCCTTTGCAAGTGTGGGAGGGTTCTCTCTTTCTCCCATTGCTACAGCCCTAAGAAAACTCCCTTATCTGAGGACCCAACTTGTACTGGAAGGAAATTTCTCATTGTATTTCCTCTGGAAAGGGAATTATCCTGAGAAATGCAACAGGAAACTTTTAAATTCCTTCTCACTGTTCATTACGCTCTCCAAATACACAGACACGGCTGATGTTAAAGTTGCATCCAGCTTGGCCCTCCGTTTTTTTCTTCTCCACATTGAAATGTTTGAATTGATCTTTTATTTATTTATTTACTTTGTATCAGGAGCGATTTTCGAAACTGCAAGTCGCTTCTGGTGTGAGAGAATTGGCCATCTGCAAGGACATTGCCCAGGGGATGCCCGGATGTTTTACCATCCTGTGGGAGGCTTCTCTCATGTCCCCTCATGGGAAGCTGGAGCTCAGAGACGGGAGCTCACCCTACTCCCCATATTCAAATCACCAACCTTTTGGTCAGCAGTCCTGCCAGCGCAAGGGTTTAACCCATTGCGCCACTGGGGGCTCCTGGATCGTTTATGACCAGCCCAAATGGTTAGAGGCAGCACAGAGAAGCAGCCCTTCAATTTGGCAGTTGGAGACAGTTTTATCAATACCATACTGTGAATGGTTATATCATTTGAAAACTGTTTCAGCTATATGTCTCTAGAACATAGCCATATAACCCAGAAAAACCTACAATAACCCAGAAGCACAGAGTGTTTGAGGACTGGGACTCCGTAGGGATACCAAGATGCTTGTTTATAAAGCTATTGTCCTCCCAACCCTGCTATATGCCTGTGAGATGCAGACTGTCTACAGACGTCACATGCAACTCCTGGAACGATTCCATCAACATTGCCCCCAAAAAATCCTGCAAATCTCTTGAGAAGACAGGCCAACAAATGTCAGCATGCTGGAAGAAGCAAAGACCACCATCACTGAAGTGATGGTCCTCTGCCATCAACTCCACTGGACCGGCCACATTGTCCGAATGCCTGATCACCGCCTCCCAAAGCAGTTACTCTACTCCGAACTCAAAAACAGAAAACGTAATGTTGGAGGACAGGAAAAGAGATTTAAAGATGGGCTCAAAGCCAACTTTAAAAATTGTGGCATAGACACAGAGAACTTGGAAGCCCTGGCCCTTGAGCACTCTCGTTGGAGGTCAGCTGTGACCAGTAGTGCTGTAGAATTTAAGGAGGCACGAATGGAGGGTGAAAGAGAGAAACGTGCCAAGAGGAAGGTGTGTCAAGCCAACCCTGACTGGGACCACCTTCCACCTGGAAACCGATGCCCTTATTGCAGAAGGACATGCAGGTCAAGAATAGGGCTCAACAGTCACCTACGTACCCATCGCCAGGACACCGCACTTGGAGAACAATCTTACTCGGACAACGAGGGATCGCCTAAGTAAGTATTTGGGGATTGCAATTCCCTGAGTTCCTCGACCAGTATGTCTGTGGCTAGAGGATTCTAGGAATTGTAGCATCAACAATCTTAGGTTGAAATTTCATGATCATACGTATTCAACCATCCCCCAACCTTCGGAAAAAAAATGAGAAAATGTAAAAACCAGAATGACAAGGGAAAAATATACTTCCCTCACCTCGCCTTGTCTTGCTGGAGCCAGCCAGATTCTTGGAGCAAGAAAAAGTTTGAAGATAAAATTTGATATTCTGCCCTTCTTTGGATAAGTTCTTTAGCATTTCTTTTCTTTTTGTTCCTTTTCTGTTTGTTGTTTGCTCTATTTTATTTTCAAATATTTTCTGTTGCTAGGCCTTTGTTGCTACCATGTGACATATTTTTGTTTTGTTATTGCATATTATATTGTCTATATTATTGGAATAATAATAGGCTTTAAAAAAAGAAACTTTAATTTAATATTGTGTTTAAGGGGAGGTGAGGGGGCTTTAGTTAAAATATATTCCCCTTTTTAACATGTGGGTAATTTTTCTTTCATGGAACAATATTCCAGCATGTGATTTCTGGTACCCAAAGGCTGCCAGATCATCCAGATTATCAAAACAGGCAAACCAAATTGTCTGCTTTGAACTGGATTATATAAGACTACACTGGATAATCTGGATTTTATATGGAAGTGTAGAAGTGTAGATGGAGCCACACTTTCACAGGAAGTTGAGCCGCAGCTCTTCTAATCAAGCTGTGACTCCAATTTCATAGAACATACTAGGACTGGCCAAGAAAATAGATCCACCATTGTTACAGTCCCTTCTTGATGGAAACTAAGGCCCCTTCTACACCGTCATATAATATCAAAGTACATAATCTACATTATTTGCTTTCAACTGGATTTGGGAAAGCAAGTCCTATGAGGAGCGGCTTAAAGAGCTGGGCATGTTTAGCCTGCAGAAGAGAAGGCTGAGAGGAGACATGATGGCCATGTGTAAACATGTGAGAGAGGGGGGAGTAGGCTTGTTTTCTGCTGCCCTGGAAACTAGGATGTGGAACAATGGCTTCAAACTACAGGAAAGATTTCACCTGAACTTCCTAACTCTGAGAGCTCTTCAGCAGTGGAACTCTCTGCCTCAGAGTGAGATGGAGGCTCCTTCTTTGGAGGCTTTTAAACAGAGGCTGGATGGCCATCTATCGGGGGTGGTTTGAATGTGATTTTCCTGCATCTTTGCAGGGAGTTGGACTGGATGGCCCACAAGGTCTCTTCCAAGTCAGTGATTCTATATGACTCTAAACTACAGATAATCTGGATTTTATATGGCAGTGTAAAGGGGGTCTATGATCTTTCTGATATTATGCTAAAGAGAGAACTCTTAAATCCAAAAGTTTGATCCTATTACTATGTATGGCTTCCAAGGATGCATTTTATGGCCCTACGTCCTGGCTCCAAAGGGTTGAACTGCTGCTCCTAGAAGTCCCTTAAAACTGCAATATTAACCTTTTAAATATAGTACATTGTCATAATCCCATGCCCTGTTTTAACATCAAAAATAGCTTTCTTTTCAAAGCCTGAAGTGAGCTTCTTAACATTAATTGGCTTTGTAGGGGAGGGATTTTTAGCAAGCCAAGCACCTCCAGGAGGATAGAAAATTGGTCCCTATACCTGGCATGCTTGGTCTGGTCTTAAAATAAGGTTCCATAGGTCGATGGGAGCCATTTCACTGTATGCCTGTGACAATCTGTACGTGATGCTGCTACCCTTTATATTATATAACCAGAATGCTTATATATTCTCAAAGTTTGCATACTGGGGGAAAGCTCACTTTGCTTCTGGATGCTGGACTGGATGCTCTGTGCCACAAACAGCTTAGTATGTTTACTCCCTCAAGTTTTTAAGGGTCTAGGCTGGCTTGGAACTATATCGAACCCAAATATTACTCCTTATTTTGGTTGCATGGCTCTTCTCTTAGAGCAGTGGTTCTCAACATGTGGGTCCCCAGATGTTTTGGCCTTCAACTCCCAGAAATCCTAACAGCTAGTAAACTGGCTGGGTTTGGGGAGTTGCACCTGCGACCCATAGGTTGAGGACCACTGGCTTAGGGCCCTTCCACATAGCCATATAACCCAGAATATTATGGCAGAAAATCCCACAATATCTGCTTTGAACTAGGTTATCTGAGTCCACACTGCCATATATTCCAGTTCAAAGCAGAGCATGTGGGATTTTATGCAGCAAAGCAAATTTATATGCTGGACAGAGCTAACCCCCACCTTGTATATAAAGAAAACCAATTAAGCCATTTCTGCATATACTTTTCTTATTTTATTTAATGCTGCCGATTATGAGGAGGGACAAAGTGCTAACATTGCAACCATAAAAATCTTGGTAACCTCCCACATCTAGCTTCTGAAATATCCGCTGCACTCACTATTTCAAACCCATCATCACAATCCAAAGCTCAAGAAAATACCCTTTCTTTTTTTAAAAAATGTACACCCAATTGTACCCAACACCAAAGTGAATTTCCCACCGTTTGGAGTGGGAAATAATTTTGTGCAGATTATACACAAGCATTTTGTTTGTTTGTTTTTCCTTACTAGTTTTGACAAAAATTGTGATTCTTAAACTTACTTAGAGTAGCCTAGTTTCAGGGTATGAATTGCCCTGCTGATACATCCACTCCATCTATCTGTTTCTGAATTTAAAAACAAAACAAAGCCGAGCCAGTCCTTTCATTGAAGACCAAGAGACTGAGTGGACGGGCAGTTCGGAAGTATCCCATTCTTTCCTCTGACTGTAAAACTTGCATCCTAATCCAGAAAAGTGGAACCCAAGACAAGCTGTTTTTGTTGTTTTGCTCTAGGAGGTGCACTATTTACATGTTCAAAAATCACCCTTATTGCTTCACATGTTCCAGGCCTGAGCAATGCACAGTGCAGAAAACAAACTCCAGCTCTGGATTTAAATTATGCTGGGTTTTACCCATCCTTGGTTTAATCTATCCCTTATCCCCAAAATAACAATGTATACTAGGATGGGGAAGGGTCCGGCATTGTTGAGCCTATTTGGTTTTTGTTGTGTGGAGCCCCACAAAAGGGTGAGGAAGAACACACCGGTCATCTATTCCTCTTTTTTGTTTCCCCTCAGCAAAAATACCCTTAAAGAATACACAATTCTGCTGTCTCTTGTGCTGAAAGCAAAAGCAGATTTACTTGGGGAATCCCTCTTTCGACCCATCAGATTACGTAAAGCTTGCAGATTGTGTGTGTGAAAGTTTTGTAATCAGTTATCATGTAATCTCCAAAGTCTATATAGGAACCAAATTATATACCAGAGTTGAGGGCTGGTTGAGCCTCATTGATTAATGCAGTTAAAGTTTGTACAGGGATGTGTGCTGATATTACTGCTGTTACAATTCCCATCTCAGGGAACAAAAAAATAAGTGTCATGGTGATAGCCCCAGTTTGCATTCCATCTGCTCATCAAACAGCACCATTTGTTTCCTTGACAGTTCATCAAGGAAAGCCTCAGTGTCCGCTTCTCTTCAGCCCAGTCACTCCTGCACGGCATCTGCAGGTTGATGGCAATCCAGATCTCCTTTCATCTCCACACTTCCTGGCAACTTGACTCCAGTTTTCCGATCCACACACCAACATTTCCCTCGTTGCCCATCCAATGCTGGGTGACACTGAAGAAGAAAAACAGAAGGACAACTCATTATCAGGATAGGAAATGAGGGAGTCTAATAGTAGACTCTTCTATCCACCCTATCCTTTAACTAGTTTCGCATATTGGCCCCTCTCCCACGCCAAAAAATGAGTCCGTTGTTGCTTTTGATGCTTGTTTATTATTGTTTATGCTGTTTTATGCTGTTTTAATATGCTATTGTTCTGTTTTTAATTGTATGTTGCCTTGGGCTTGGCCCCATGTAAGCCGCCCGAGTCCCCTCAGGGAGATGGAGGCAGGGTAGAAAAATAAACTACTTCTTCTACTTCTTCTTCTACTACTACTACTACTTCCTCCTCCTCCTCCTCCTCCTCCTCCTCCTCCTCCTCCTCCTCCTCCTCTTCCTCTTCCTCTTGCTCCTGCTCCTGCTTCCGCTTCTTCTAGAGCAATCATGTCTGCCTCCTCCTTTACCTCCCCTTCATACAACAATTATAACAGGACAGGAGAGAAGGGGCAGACCTAATCTCGCCAGGGAGAGAGTTCTATAACCGGGGGGAGGGGGGGGGGGGGGGGAGGAACCACAGAGAAGGCCCTGACTCTCATCCCAACCAAACATGACTGCGAAGGTGGTGGGACTGAGAGCAGGGCCTCTCCGGAAGATCTTAAAGTCCTTGATGGTTTATAGGGGAAGATATGTTCGGACAGGTAAACCGGGCCAGAGCCATGTAGGGTTTTGTAGGTTAAAACCAACACTTTGAATTGTGCTCGGAAACTAATTGCCAGCCAGTGGAGCTGGTGTAAAAGGGGAGTTCCAGTGGTTTTCTTCCTGTGGATCCCCAGACGTTTTGGCCTTCAACTCCCAGAAATCCTAACTGGGATTTCTGGGAGTTGTATGCCAAAAAAACCTGGGGACTCACATGTTGAGAACCACTGATCTATCTAGTAACCATTGACACTCAGTTCCTCCCAACACAATACATGGTTGTGCTGATGGAAAGTATAGGATGGGAATAACCAAACAAGGATCATCTGTCAATTGTTATCTAGCAGCCATTGACACACAGTCCTCCTTGCTTGGCTGCCTCCCTCTTCCTGTTGACCACAACATGGTTGGAGAGAGAGCAGAAAAGAGGACAGGGGAAATTTTCTCCTCCCTGTGGATTTTTAAAGATGTCAAAGAGAAGTTTGTTTAAATTACTTATTCTCCCTCACTGGTACAAATTATTTTAACAAGGGCATCCTTATTACTGGCTGCTAGAAGCAATAAATGCAAGTAAAAATGAGTCAAAAGCAAACAGACTGCTCAGAATTGAAACCCACCCATCTTTGACATAGGTGGACCTATACTCTGGTATTACCTGTTTGGGGTGAAAGTTCCCATTGCGGTCACAGTTGGGGATGGGGATTAGGTACAGATCCTCATGGGTTCGGGTTTGGGATGCTGCTAACCTCTCCAGTGCTCTCTGAAGTTCACTTTGACATGAGCCTTGGACCTGTTGACAAAGCAATGGATGGAAATGATGTCCAAATGTTGTGACAAGAATAAGCAGAAAGGCAATTAAGAGTAGTTCTATACCTATTGAATTAACTCTTTGCATTTGAAGAGAAAAAGGTATATTTAGAGCACTAACAGATGAATCTCAGCCCTGTACTTTTTCTCTCCATCATAGACATAAGAGTGTCTGCAAAACAATACCTGCTCCCTTAAGAAATAAACTGCTGCCGATTGGATGAAAGTAATTGCTTAGATTAAATCAAATGTAGGCAACTGCGGCCTTCCAGACATAGATGGACTACAAGTAGGAGAGAAGAATGCTGGTCCTCTATATGTTCATGAATTCCATTTCCAACAGCCCTAAGGAATCATGGGGGGTGGAGTTCAAAAATACTCAGGGGACCACAAATTGGTGCCCCTGCGTCAAAGGAACAGCAAAGTGAAGCAATGGATAATGAGATTCCTCACATTCCTGGTGGTTCCCATCCCCAGAGGAGAAACCAGAACACCTCACCACTGGTCGTGTCTCCTCCCGGATAGGTAGGATCCCACTGTTCCTCATCTTGACACCACTGTTTATCCTCTCACGTGCTCTTGCTTGCTGCTTCTGGAGGCATTTTCTGTCATGGCTGCTGCAGGGGCTGAAGTTGTTGGGCTGTGGGAGTTCAACAACTTCCTCCAGTTCTGAAGAGAAAGAGAACGACAAGACCATGAAAAGAGTCAACAAAAAGGGGATTTGTGTTGTGAGGTTGCAAGAAGCAGTCTTCATATAGGATTAAGAACACGCTGTTTACTACAATGATTACTTTACTACAGCCCATTACTGCAAAGATTTCTTTTATGTTAAGTAAACAGCAAAACAGTGGCTTTCTCCATCAAATTCCCAAACATGCTTGTTTAAACCGTGGGCTAAACATCAAAAATTTACATTGCACAAATGTAATGAAAATGTAATGAAACCCTGTTAAGGAATTGCAAATATATAACCCAAGGCACTAGCAAGAATGTATGAATGCACTTTATTGTTGTTTATTCGTTTGGTCACTTCCGACTCTTCGTGACCTCATAGACCAGCCCATGTCAGAGCTCCCTGTCAGCCGTCACCATCCCCAGCTCCTTCAGAGTCAAGCCAGTCACTTCAAGGATACTATCCATCCATCTTGCCCTTGGTCAGCCCCTCTTCCTTTTTCCTTCCATTTTCCCCAGCATAATTGTCTTCTCTAAGCTTTACTGTCTTCTCATTATACTTCTCAAATACTTCATCTTGGCCTCTAATATCCATCTCTCCAATGAGCAGTCGGGCCTTATTTCCTGAATTATGGACTGGTTGGATCTTCTTGTGGTCAAAGACACTCTCAGAATTTTCCTCCAACACCACAGTTCAAAAGCATCTATCTTTCTTCACTCAGTCTTCCTTATGGTCCAGCTCTCACATCTGTAGGTTACCACGGGGAATACTATTGCTTTAACTATGCGGATCTTCGTTGGTATGAATGCACATCACAATCAAATTTGGAACTTCTTAATCTGGCACTCCTGAAGAGTACCTGGCACTTCTGATACATGCTGGGGCTTCTAATGTTCACTGGGAAATTCTTATGCACATTGGACCCTTTTGATGCACATCAGGCATTTTTTTTTCCGGTCACCAGGCACTCCTGTTGTGCTTAGGCGCTCCTTATGATCATTTTCGGATGCACATCCAGATGCCCATAGGTACCCATTGCAAATTGATACTGTGGTGTATCTGTCACTTAACGGCCTATCACTGCACGTTGGAAGCCTGTACACTGTAATATCATGGCAGCCCCAAAGTGAATTGGGATGCTATTTCCTGCACATATAAGCCCCATGCTGAATATCAAACACATCCTTCCCTCATTAATATCACATAACTTGTCACTCAAAATATTAATGTCATTGGCATTATGACATGTAAAATAACCATGATAGAACTTCTTGGTCAACAAGACACCAGAGGCCTACTTTGGTTTGTTAGTCTCAACTAGAAGAGAGCAGCTGAATAATGGATCCACATTTATATAAATCCCACTGATCATACAGAGCTACTTTAGCATGAATGAGAAGCTGGAGTGAGAAGTGTTAAAGCCTCATCCAGATGGTCAAAATTTATTGATGAATACAGATTTTCTTTTCAATTACTACAAAAAAGTAAATATTCTATCTTTGGACCATCCATATGAACATTATGCTCCAGATTTTGAGGCCATGTTACCATGTACACTTTTACAGGTTCATCTCTAGTTTCAAAAGCCACGGATACATTTTTAAAACCACATGATCATCATCTTTATGCAACTTTAATTAAAATTCATTTTCTCCAACCTTTACGGCTGCATTTCTCTACTGTAAATCAATTGTTAAGTTGTCAATAACGAAACCAGTTAAGATCCTTGCCTTCCTTAAGAAGCAATGTTCAAGATGTCTTGTGAATAATAATAATGAAATCATCAGTCAACCTTGATTTTAGTCTTCCTTTCAAAAAGGCTTCTGTAGTGAAGTGACTAATATTCTCTTAGGGGGGAAATCTGCTTATATGTATACACATTTTGTATACGGTAGTTTTTAAATGCAGCATGTGCCCAGGGGCGGCTCAACCCATTACGCAAAGTAAGCATTTGCAGTATAGTTGATTTTGCCCAGGGGTGCTCTTGAGGCGCTCTTGGGGGAAAATAGACCTTGACATATGCGAGTTGTAGTTACTGGGATGTATAGTTCACCTACAATCAAAGAGCATTCTGAACTCCACCAATGATGGAATTGAACCAAATATGGCACACAGAACTCCCATGACGAACAAAAAATATATATCAGTGATTTGGGGGGGGGGGCAAAATACTGTTTGCTTCCCATTGAAAATTACCTAGGGCCGCCTCTGCATGCGCCTTAACTTTATCATACCAAAGATAACCATGCCACCCAAATCTTACATCATGACTTTCAAATTGCAAAACTTTCCAATCTTTAAGTAGTATCAATTTCTTTAGCCAAACAAAACTGCAAGCTTCGTAATATAATTGAACATTAATTATTCCCAAGCTGAGTTTCTTTGCCTTCCAAACAAATCTATAAATCTCTTTTTGCCATTGCACAAACAGTTTTTTTTAACCTTTCTTATACGAATCATTTGAAATAGACATAATACCTTTGGCAAAACATTTGTTTTTTTATTTCTGCAAGTCTACCCCAAAGGAATAAATTTAACTTTTCCCGGTTATCCTAAGTCTCTTTTAATTTCTTTCTATAGTTTGTCATAGCTTATTACTGTTTTAAAACAATAAACTGTTGTTCTTTGTAACTGTAATCCATTTTTTCCTATTTATCATTTGAAAGAGTAGTTAAATCATCTTCTAAAGTCTTATTTTTAGTCAGAAATTTTATTTTATCACAGTTCACTTTTAACCCAGAACATGTCCCAAACAAATTAAGATCTTCCAAAACAGCATTTATTGAGTCCAATGGAGTTTGTGTCACAAGGTCATCCACACTCTCCATTTATACTCTTCTTTTGACTCTCACTTCATAGATTCTGACATCTTGTCTAATATCTCTTAGTAAGATCTCTAATGTCCGATAAAAAGTAAAAGCCAACTTTGTCTACTCCCTTTTGTATTTCAGTCGGACTTGTTACATTACTACCCCTTTGAACTGAGTAAATTGCCTTTACTGTTCAAATAATATTTTCACCAAAGGTCAATCTCGCCAATCCTTGATATAAGCAATTCCAAGAAATAGTATCAAATGCTTTCTCTGTGTCCAAAAAATCAAAACAGACTTGTTGTCATTATGATGTTCCAAAAATCCAATTATATTAAAAACAGTTCTCACATAATTCCTTAGTTGTTTTCTTGGCACAAAAATATTATGATCCTCATGGATATTCCTAGAAATAGGTTTTCTCAATCTGCTTGCCAAGATGGTAGTAAAAAAGTACTCCAGATGTTGTTGGACTGCAACTCCCAGCAACCCTAGCCAGGATAGCTAGGGATTCTAGGAATTGTCTAGCAACATCTGGAAGGCCACATGACTCTCATTCTTGACCACAAAGGGTACTGTGGGTCAGTGTTTGTGTCTTCTATTCTTTTAACCTTAATATTTGCCATGTTCCTTTAAATCAAATCTGACACATTAAAAGAGGCAGTTACTTTCCTCACCTACTCATTTGTCCGGTCATTTTGGGTTCTGTTCTGCTTGGACAGTAAGACACTTTTATTTTAAGGAATGGAGAAGAAAGTGAAGCTTTTCAGATGTGGTTGGACTGGCCTAGAGGTGATGGGAGTTGCAATGCAACTATATCTTAGGGCGCTTCCAGGCAGCACTAAATCGCGGGTTTTAAACAGGGGCAAAAAAATCCCAGGACTTCAGAAGAGGTCCACATACAGACCTGCTGGTCCCGGGATTTCTGCCTCTGTTGTCCAGACTTGATGTTTTGTCATGAGATTTGGAGGCTTCCAAGATGGCTACTGCAGGGCTTTGGCATTAAAAAAAAAAAAACCTTGAGTGCAGATATGCGGAGAATCACTGAGGCGAATCTCTGCAAAAGTTCTGTCCTTTGTCCTGGACAGAGAAACTGTGCCCTCCAAACTTTTCATGAAGTTTCTGGCACACAAACAAAGTTTTTACCTTCTACTCAAGTGTCACCTTCTTTGTAGTATCCTAGCTGCCAATAGTGAAAGGACCAAGGTGGAGATATCTCCAGCTCATCCCTTGTTTGGGCATCATCCAGCATGTCAACGACTTAATTCAAGAAATAGTTTTCTAAGATCTACAGAGACACTCGCTGGGACACCTCAGCAAACAAGAGTCCAAAAGTGGCAGGCTCAAACCCAGAGCCTCAATCAATGGCTGATACCCAATGAGAGACTCCCCCCTGAGCACACAGAAAACTGGGCGACTTGGAAGGCACTGAACAGACTGCGCTCTGGCACCACAAGATGCAGAGCCAACCTTAAGAAATGGGGCTACAAAGTGGAATCCACGACATGCGAGTGTGGAGAAGAGCAAACTACAGACCACCTGCTTCAATGCAACCTGAGCCCTGCCACATGCACATTGGAGGACCTTCTTGCAGCAACACCAGAAGCACTCCAAGTGGCCAGATACTGGTCAAAGGACATTTAATCAACTACCAAGCTTGCAAACTCTGAGTCTTTTGTTTGTTTGTTTGTTCTGTCAAAAATGTAATACAACTGTTCGGTTGCCTGACACGATAAATAAAAAAAACCTTCTTTGTAGAAACTGACCAATCAGGAGCAAAAATCTAAAACCCGGGAATATACCCAGATTTTTTAAAAAACCATGATTTAGGAGTGCAGGGACATACAGACATGCAAAGATCCGCATATTCTGGTCAAAACTCCGATATTCCCACATATGGAAATCTCACATTTTTTGCCTTTTTGTAGTGATTGCTTCCGCATTTACAGGTAATGGCGTCTGACCACACTCCCATTTGCTGCGGAAACTCCTGGGATAAAGGTACTGTCTGGATGGGTCCTTAGAGGCTGCATTTTGTCCACCTTTTATTTAAGGGAACCGGGCAAATTTCCCAACTGTGACTTGGCAATACTAAGAGCACACTAGGGAAGAGTGCTATTTTTGAGTAGCTTTTTCATCTGATGAAGTGTGATGAAAACCACAAAAGCTTGTGCCAAATAAAAGTT